TTTTTTCCCAGGTAGACGAAATCCTTTAAATGATTAGCCTTCGAGCTTACAACTGATTCCCCTCTGTTCAGAGACGCGGAGCATGGATATTTTCAACACGTCTGACTGCATGTATAAATATGCAAATATCGCCCATCCTGTGACCAGAATTTTGGTTTCAAAAATTTGAAATTCCTGACATCTTCACGTGCTCCAGTTTGATAATAAAATTAAATATTACATACAGGAACAATCGGTTTCTAACTCTGTTTGGCAAAGCAAAATTTGGGCGTTGGTGCGGCGAAAGAGGTGCAGAAAGGATTGATGATCGCTTCAAGTCTGCCAAACAAGGTTAAAGCACTGGTCAATGGTTCAAAAGATACTCTTAAAGATGCTCTCATTGTAATTTCGAAGTAACGACGTACCAGTGAAGTTCGTAGTTACGAAATAAATGAAATGCACTACAGTGCTACGGTCTTTAGTTGTAGCACAGTACTGGAATAGGCATTCGGAACGAATTACATATTACAGCAATATCTCTCGTATCGTTTTTTCGCCACGGCAATTTCATGCTCATCACAATGCCCCAAGAGATAATGCTCCTAATGTGCCTCCGGTACATGTTACCAACACAAAACGAGACAGGATGAGCATAGTAAAGGGCGATGCCAAAACATGATGGAACGTGGCACCACTAGACAACAAGAAGCAGTGCGCCCTAAAGCCTTAACTTTCAGCAGCTACGTGCCAAATAATATCGCCAGCACACGAGTCATATTTGATCTCTCCAAATCTGTGAAAGCAACTTTAATGGTGAAATAAAACGGTTAAAATACGCAAAACAATAAAATCAAACGTTTTTCATACATCGAATTCCAATGCGACTGTGCGTCCAGTAAACAGCGACCGCTGCTGGCGGCGGGCTGTGAGGTACGACCTGAGGTCTCAGGACCGTGGTGATCACACTAGGCAGGATCAGGCGAAATCCTTGAGCAGAGTCCTGCGTTTCGTCTCAGCTACGTACATTTGATTTTCCATTACCTAAAACGCAACACATTGGTCATTACCACTTATGCATTGGCCGTGTTGGCTCACTATGTACCCCTCTGTCAGTCGTTTCGGATCTCTCAACTTGCCATGACAGGTTTTCGATCTCGTGCTCCAACTGTGCCTGTTGATACTCAAACTAAAGTCGTGAAAAATAATTAGAATGATACAATGTTGTCAGATATTGCTAACTATACAAATATATAAATAGAAAAAGATATCGCCGAAGTGTCGCAATCAATCATCTTTACAGATAATACCATTAAAATCACCTTGGCATATTTGGATCTGGAGACGAGACGACGCTTTAAAATGGACCATTCTAATGGCCCAGCATGAAAACGACCTAAGAAGATCCCACAGCAAAATATCATAAAGAAGACCTAACTTTGTCGCATCCTGTAATCCAGGCCGTAGAGCTTATTCAATTTCTTCGTAATGGGACCGTTGGAAAGTTATTCTCCAACAGCTAGCCCCACAACATGAAAGGAATATCGGAACTTAGCTAACGAATCGGAGATTAGCTAACGAAAAGGATCATATTAAGTGTGTACGTCTAAGGAACGCAGTTAATCTTATAGAGAATTCGAGCAAAGATTATGGTGAAGTATTATATGATCCAACCAATAAACGATGGAAAGTATTTACAAAAAATACATCTAATGAAATAATTTCACTCATTATCATGAAAATATCCGGCGCCTTATCGCATGGACAGATAATAACCCAGTTTGATTAGATGGAGGAATAATAGCTCATGAACTGATTTCCAGACATCGAATATTTAGATTACGAATATTCCTAATGAAGCAAAGGCTTCAATATCAACAGGAAGCTAGTATTTAGTAACAACGTTTGGTTGGATCTACAGACGTTCATCAGTTAAAGTAGTTTATGGGCATAAACATTTTAAATGTTCCGACATGGGAAACGGAAAATTTTAGATCACCCAGAAAATAAACAAATAAACATACGATGCTTTTCTATTGTCGTAAATGTCCTGAAAAGTGAGAGATTTCAACACAATGGACAGTTTTCTTAATGCAGTCGACAACAGGTAACGAATGAAAGGAATAACTGCAAGGTGTAAACTTATTTATGAAGGTGCCATCAGAGAGATACATATCTCTATCTTGCCAACGACAGTCAGTTAGTCATTCAGCTTCATTGAACGCTTATCTTTTTAAACAGATGAGTCAGACAGTGTTTCCAACATTAGCGATCCTATGCCAGCATTTGAACGGCGGCAGAAGATAACTAGAATCTTGAACAGTCCGTCTATGCACTTGCCCTGAGATATTCATGACCGTCCATGGAGTCTTCGGTCGGTCGACTAGGCAAGTAGTAGCTGTTTCGCCTTCCATTCAGTTGTTACTCTCAATTTTAATCATATATACTCAACATATATCATTCGTAACGACCTGGCCAGTTAACGTGAAGTTTTAAAGCACTAGAGCTGATGAATCGCAACAAATGCAAACGGATAAAAGACAGTTTCAGTAAATGAGGAGATGAATACAATTCAAATGGATTGAAGATGAACAACTGTTTATAGGTAAAGATATGCAACACGTTAACCACATCTATAATCTTGAATACATGATCAACTGCGACAAATGTGAAGCGAGGATTTAAAAAAGAGTCAATAATGCCCCCTGAAATGAATATTTGAGGCTGTAGCAAAATCTGCGGAAAACCACCCAGGTCATTCCATGCATAATTTATCGCTATTCAGCAAGTACTGATTGAAGCACTACAAACCGTTATCAAAAAGGAAAGTAACGTATTAGAAGCATGACAACTCTGATTGACGCAGAATATTCGGTAAGTGACTTACTGATCGTCATAATCTTCAACGAGTTTACACCGCGTGTCGAAGTTTCAGAAACAATGGGGCATAATCCAAGTATAATAGGAAAGCAAGGAAAGAAAAAGAGTTTTCAACTGTTGGAATGACGGTTGAATTAATGGCTCCAATTTTAGGAACCATCTTTTCATGAAGTGCTGATAAGCAAACAGCGCCTTATCTTTTAACGGCTATGTGACAAACATAGTCTGCATTCTCCTGACCCGGCAGAAACCTCGGGATTCGTTTTAATAAAATTTATATGCAGTGTACACACTCAGACTAAAGTTCTCCGTGTCAGAGTTGATCGTCAGTGCAAAGCTCGCTTACAGTCATAAGTCGTGGGTCATGACTGAGAAACTTCGATCATGGATACAAGCGGCGGAAATAGGCTTTCTGAGATCAATCACTGGGTTCACGCGTCTCGACATGGTCAAAAATGCAGAGCCTTGGTGCAGAGTCGCTGCTTTTCCAGATTAAAAGGTCACATCTAAGATCGTTTGGGCACAACCTCCAGAAAAGAAAGCGAATCAGTTACCATTTGCCCAACCGACCGGCCGAAAACCCAGGGGACGGCAAAGAATGACGCTGGGCAAGTTTATTGAAGGACTCAGTTGTAAACTCAAGTTATCTCCTGCCGAAGTTAAAACGCTGACACAGGATCAGATATGTTGGAAACATTGTCTGACTCGTCTGCCTCCGTGACCCGAAAGGACAAGCGGTCATCGAAACTGACTGACAGTGGTGTAAACACTTTGAAGATGATGAAGATAAAGAAGTTTCTACGCGAATAAAGAGTTTAAGAAGTATCATTAAAACTCATTTAATGACAGATTATGAATGTCAAAAGACTCAAGGATACCAAGGAAACGTTCATGCCACATACAGAAAATTATTATGTCGATTTCCTTCCAACAAAATAAAAAACCCGTCTTTGGCCACTCATTACGCAGAGACGTTCCTCAAGTGGATGATCAACGTAACGATTTCCGGTGGGCAGAGTACAGGCTGGAAAACGCGGAGTATAACGAATGCAAAGACAACGACAACTGGCAAATCAGATCCTGCATAAGAATTGGATTTCGATCATATCAAACATTACACAGAACACGACGCAGTGGCAGATGGGGGACAAGAAATACAGGGTTTGTAAATCAAGAAAGAGATGGCCTCTCTAAGTCTCAATTCAAATTTAGTGACAGTAAGCTAGATCACAAGGAAATGTATATCATTAAAGCCAAAAAACAGGTTTGCTTTACCAACTCCTTCCTCGGCCCTGAAGCCATGTAGTACGCATACGGATAGGTGTACTGAAGAGTGTATCGACACTAAATGCGAGAAAAAATTTACACAAGAAATACGACACAACGTTCAGCGAAAGTGAATCACCAACCTTGGTCAGCAACGACGCGGCATCGTACAGGTACTGCCAATCGATCCACGTACCTTGGTGCTTGTTCACCTTCTCTTCGATTCGCTGTCGGATTCGGGCGAAAAGCTGCTGTTCAAGCTTCAAGCTCTTCCGGTGATTTTCCCACTAGGGAATGAAAAAATAAAGTAAATGCCAAGTATTGCAAGGCGATTAACCGCCACCTACTCGTTCGTAATAGAAAAGATACTTTTCGAGTGCCACCCGCGCTTTCACGTGGACCGTTTCGTTGGCGATGTTCGGGTTCTCCTTATATCTCGAGCACTCGTAGTACTCGCTGCCGTGCGTTTTCCATTCTACGACAGAAAAGTAGTAAAGTTTTAAAAAAGCAGGTCGACGTTCACCCAATTGCACTAATTATAAATGTACAGCACACAAGCAGTACAATGAAAGTAGCAGTAGCAATAATAATAGCAGGCAAATTAAATATTAGAGCTCTGTCTGAAATGAATAATTTCTCTGAAATATCGTTAAACGTAAATAATTATGACTTTACTATATAATCCAATATCACAACGGCAAGCAGCCAGAACAAATTCAAAGCACTAATTGGTTAGGAATGCATTTATTTCACAGTAAACAAGTTTATATATATATATTGTCCGCGTCGTCCGCCGAGCAGATCTCGTCGCTCATCGCCAAGACCAAGGCTCAACTCGCCAGTTTTTGGAAGCACTTCTATCAGGTACGAGGCTTGTTGACCATCCATA